GTTTGTAAAAATTATTTGAATATTTTAAATTGGCTTCAAATGATATCTTATACATAAAGAACTGAGTGTAAATTTATCTAATAAATTAAGTTTAAGTGTATATGTTTTGTAGAGAACGCCTTTAGCAAAGACCAGTTGTCACAAACACTGTTGTTTATATTACATTTTGTGACAGCTGATCTCCTAGCATCTTTGCGTTACTCACCCCCACCCAGCACGGCAAATCGATGGCGCAGGTACATCGTAAGTCAGTGTGACAGTTACTTTATGTGTCATCTTTTTTTGTAGCAAGCGCCTTCGCTTGAATAGTAATTTGTTCGGCCGTTGTACGCCATAGTTTTTATTATTTGTTTGTTTCCCTCTTGTGCTCAAAGTTCTCATGCCCTTGCACGCCTCTAGTGATCTACCAAATATCTTCACTGCCATAGTCGCTTTTCCGCCGTCTGTTTTCATCCACCATTACGTGCATGCATCTATACTCTGACTTACTCAGATGTTTGACACAATTACCACAAGATCTCATACAGTCCACTCACCACTATCAACAACTTCATTTATTCAGCTGAGTTTTATGTTATTTTTTAATGTTATTTATTATTTGTTTTAATTGAGTTTAACTATTTTGTTTTATGCCCCTTCGCCGGCCATTAGTATTTAAGGACCCCCATTACCGTATTTTGGTCTTTTGTATATACGATGTAAAGGACCGCGTAACTCGACCGCTATCCATTCGCTTACAAGTCACGTATTTTCTGATGGTGTATTTAAGGCCCCCTCCCTATATTTAAAATTTTAAGATATTCGTTAAAGAACTTTTAATATATGTGGTTATTTGTTATTTAATTATTCTCTACTCTCGTTAGTTATTAGATATGCGGTTAGCAGGCACGTAGCCAGAAAATGTTTATTGGAGGGGCAAACAATTTTGGGCCCTTGTATCATTTTCCATAATTTTTTTCCCATGAAAAGCTTGTGGGGGGCTCCCTCCACTCCTCCTTAGACAGTATCCCATTCTATGAATCTTACAAGTTCAACATTTTACCATTGCTTGGTTAAAAACAAATTGTTTTCGTATAAAGTATACTAATTATTACAGTACTATAAAAAATGGATACTACCTATAATTAAAAAAAAAAAAATACTTTCATCTTCACTATCGGGATGAATTTTTCATATTGTGAAAAATAAATAAAATAATGATGTGAACATAAGCTGATTTAATTGTTCAACTTTTAAGCTATTAAGAAAAAACAATTTATACCTAAATACAAATAACAAATAAGTTATGAATAATTTTTAAAATAAATATAAATTATAAACAATGTAAAATTTATTTTATTTAAAATTAAAAACAATTCCTGCCTTTTTTTAGTCATATTTTTATTACTATTATTTAGAGCACGCAAATAACAAATTAACAAAAACAAATAAATTACCTATTGTAACTACTAAATTATAAAAAAAGAAACAGATTAAAGATAAGATTTATCAAAAAAATTTTCATAGAATATACTCTATCGAATTTTGTAATCAACTAGATTCTAATCAATGCAGATACTTGGTAGTTTGTTATCATTTGTTGGACCAGAGTTAAAAAAAATTTACCTTCAACCACGTTTGGAGTAACTGCTATTCCATTTATTATTATGTCTAGAACGTTATCTTTTTCAAATAACGTTTTCTATGAATATAAAAATGAAAATACAGCCATAATAATAACTGTATTACACCCAATAGTAATCACAAATTAATAATAATTTCAATGTATATAAGGCCTAGCACGTTTTGGATAATTCGTAAAAAAAATTGAATTTTAAATTTGGGGGGGCCTGCCCTGGGCCACATTAAATCTAAGAGGGGCCAAGCCCATCCATGTCTACGTGCCTGGTGGTTAGCCGTCATCCCCCAGGTGATTCCTCTCCCGTTTCAATAATAGCGATTTAAACTGGGTTAAGGTAACAGCATTCTAGTGCGAAACAGTATATACTCGAAATTACTATTAGTTTATGATTTAAATATAAAATTCAGGAAGATATAATTTAAAGCCGCATGCAAATTTTTATTCTTTATATCAAATTTTTTGATACAAAGCATAGAAGGTATTCATTTTTAAATGATGTGTTTGTATAATTTTTAATTTTTTGTGTCAGTCGCTACTTTTTCAGCTCTTACTGGACCGATATTGCTCAATGATACGTCAAAAATTGTATCTAATTAAAGACGTACCCTCAAAAATTTAACATTTTCCCCGTAAATAGTGGAAATTTCCAAAAAAATTACGGTTTTTAAAATCGATAAATGTTTAAATTTTTTAATTTGGAATCGCACAATGCGTAATACATTTAATTACAATAAGCACAAATGATGTTTATGATAAGCAAATATATAAAATAATACATAGAGACAGTAGGCTTGATAAAAGAGGCCAACTAGTGCTCGTACTTCATGACGGATGAAATCGTGGATTACCAATAGATCGAGTTTGCTGTAGGCCCCTCTGGGGTTACCAGGGATAAAGTGGACGAATACATCAGAGATCAGGAGGTTTCGATTGTTTAATATTTTGGAGTTTAAATGCTTGTAGAATTTTTTGTCGGTTTTTTGGATTGTTGGAATGGAGAGATCATAATGAAAGGTATCATTGAAGACGTAATATGGGGTTTTTGTTATTTGACAAAGGCATCTGTTTAACATTTAAAAATTTTTTTTCTTAAAACTGTCATAACTTTTTGAAAAATAAACGAACCAAAATAATTATTTTTATGTAAATATCTTAGATATTTCCCTTCCATTTGATATAAATTTTAAGAAAATCTCACCCATTACCTAGACACAGGTAAAATATAAAATAGCAATTTTTTTACAAATCTCAACTTTTTCAACTTAACTTTTGAAATTGTTCCGGAAATACTGCATCCTATCAAATTAAAGCTGATGATACGAAATATAAATTTAAAAAAAATTTGCCCTAGAAACTTGTTTTCCATTTGCAAATTGCTTTAGTAGTTAAAAAAATACTATTTTTTTCATATTTTATTTTTCCAATAAATAGTCATAACTTCTTGAAAAATATATGGATTAATACATGTTTCCTTTTGTAAGTACTTTATACATATGTCTTTTATACGACATTCTTTTTTTAATTAATATACTGTACAAAGGAGTGGATACAGTGATAGAGTCACCTATTTTCATAATTGTTATACGAGTATAATCCATATTGAATATAAAGTTAAACTTATTTTGATTTTTTTAACAATATCTCCCTCGTAAGTCGAAAAAACGACTACAAAAACTTTCTAGTAGAACTTTTTAAACCTAACTTTTGAAAATGTTACAAAAGTTTTGAAAACATTATTCATGCTCTTTCATACTTTTTCCTAGACAAAATAATAACTTATCAAACATGAATGTAAACAACTAAAACACATTCAAATGTCTCTTATTAATACTAATATACCATTTCATAATTTTTAACATTCGAAAGACCCTTAAGATATAATATCGATCAAATTTTTTAATAAAAAAAAACACGTAATAATAGTTGCTAATCAAGTAACACATTAAAATAAGTAAATAATAAAATTATTGCTTTGCTATTTATTAATTCAATTCCAAACACACATAATAATATAACAGATAAACTACATGATAAATATTATTTTTACCTACATAAATAGATAATATTGCTTTAGCACTGATAAGTTATTAGAAATCAATAATATACAATTAAATTATTATAAATCATAATTTATTTATAAATCTAGAACTAATAGTATAACTTGAATGTAGAAGAATTCTAATCATATATACTTTAAGATTTAAACATTAGTTTATCCCTAACCATCATAATAATAAAGACTAGTATCACTTGCTTTAAATAATAACCACAAAACAATTTTATGCTAATAACTTAATAATATATACAAAAAAAATTGACAGTCTGATAAAACTAAAAAATTAAAACCAATAATTTAATTATTAAATCTTAATCATGGCATTAGAATAAAAAGGAAGAAAGTGTACTTAATTTTAAAATTACTTTATCTCTTCCATTAAGTATATCATGTTTATAATAAAACAGTATGGCAAAAATATCGAAAGATGATAAACACACTATGATTTTTCTCAAAAAGATTTCTTGAGACATTGTATATTTTAGTGCAACCCAAAATTGATAAGTATATTTAAAGAAAAAAACAGTGCTATTATTATTATTTTTTTTTTAAATTATTTTATTAGAATTATTATTGATAAATCTAATCAAATTATTACAATAAAACAGTCCTAGAAGTTTATTTATATATAAATAAATTAAATATATAATATGAGTAATTCAATAAATTACAACAAACATTTTAGCTAAATAATATTTATGTTACCCATTAGTAACTGATGAGTATCCAAAGATAATAAACTAGAATTTACAAGTCAATAAGTGGTTCATAATTAAAGTTAAAACAAAATATGTGCAATTTCCTTGCTAAAAAAAAATTCTATACATTTATATTTTGACAAAATATACAGTTAACAAATATCTATGAATAAGATTCAACTATACTTTTATTCACTAACTCAAAATAAAAATACTTTTTATTTCTCTTTGGATATCAATTAGAAGAGCAGGGGCTCAATGGCGAATACAAAATTAGAAAGTGTCACAACAGCAAACAAACACAATTGATAAAATGCTATAGTTTGTCGCATGTTATTAAGTGAAAACCTGTCTACTTTAATATTAATATTATTTCTATCATAGATGATTAGAAGTTAAAGGTTTTGTAACAATACTGTAAAGAAAACCTTTAAATTCATCACGTGTCAGATAACACAAAATAATAATAAAAATATTAAAAATAATTTCATGTGTTGACGTTTGAATCCGTGCCACAATTTTTAAATATCAAATCAAAATTAGTTACAATAAAAATAGTAATTATAATTATAGTACAAATTATTGGTAACAGTCGTAATAAAAAAAAAAAAAATGTTTCAAAAACCTTGATGATTAACAAACATTATATTTGGGTTAAAACAATATCCTTGATACTCATAATTCATTTACAGACTTCAATTTGGTCTGAACCGGATTAGTATCTTAAACGTAATGTACACATTTATGGTACTGACCCGATTAAATAAAAAATAAAGAGTACTGACCAAATAATAAAATCTGAAATAATAGCAATAATAACATATACCGTTAAAAAATGTTAACACATTATCATTATTTTGCGATATACAGGAAACCCATAACACAGTTTCAAATATTAAAATTGAGTATCAAGGAGAACAGAAATTAAAAATAGTCTATATTATAAACAATGTTATGATTTGCTAGAAGTACGTTAATCACTTAGGTAGAATGGTTTTAATTGCTGTTCTTAATGCCCAACATTTTGGCTGCATCTTCAGGTGACTTAGTTTGCAGCATTTGGTCGATAACCGTACTATCTCGTATACCTAATAATGTTCCAATCAGGCCAGTGTCAGTACGGTTACAGTCATCATATGATGACTGAGACAATGAAGACATAGCCAAGGGTGGACTGGAACTACGAGATCTTTGGTCATGATCACTGCTGTAATTGTCATGTATAGTAGCACCACCATGTTTTTTCGCTATGTGCCGGACCATACTGTGCTTAAGTGTAAATCGACGTTTACATGACTGACATGCAAATGGTTGTTCTTTGGTATGGGTGCGCATGTGACGACGCAAGTCTTCTGCCGAATAGAAACGATGTAAACAAAAAGCACATAATACCTGTAACAATAGAGAAGCACAAATTAATTAATTGAACAAATTATAACATTAGTAATGGAAAAATGATAAGTTTATTACCTTTCTATTCTCTACATCGTCCTGTTTAATTGCTGAAGCATCATGGTCATTGTCCATAGCCCCTTGGGACATTAGAATTTCATAACATTCTGCGTGATTTATCCTGATGTGATCTAGAGCGTTTTGGCGTTCTAAATAGCTACTGTCGCATAGATGGCATTTGAAACATGGGTCGGAACCGGAAGTAGCACTACAGTTACCAGCTGAAGCGACTGCAGGCAGTACATTGAAATCTCTTTCTAATTCAGGATCATCTGTGCTTTCACCAGCACAGGCGACTGTAACTTTTGATCTATCACGTTCTTCATCCACACAATTTTTTTCAAAATGTACACGATTTATGTGACTTATGAGGTTTTTGCGCTTTGAGAAGGTAGTATTGGGACAAGATGTACACTTGTATAAATTCTTTGAATCGCCCGAAGAAGGAATATCGTCTTGAGATGACGCTGTTGTCAGTTTACTAGCTGGTGTGCAGTGTAACCGTAAAATATGACGGTCACGATTTGACTTAGTAGAAAACGACAACGGACAGTGTTTGCATTGGTAAGGCTTTTCACCGGTATGTGTGCGGATATGCCGCTTTAAAGACGACGTCCACGGGAAAGAGAGATAGCAGAAGGGACAAAGCACTCGGTTGGGGGCGGCGGCATAAGCACTAACTTTTTTCCGTTTTTCACGGTTCTCATCTTTATCGTTGTTAAAGTTTATATCTGTACTGCTACTGTTATTATTGTTCGCTCTGTAACAGAAAGAATGACAATTAGTCAAATTAATTTTTATTTTGTTTATGTATAAAAATAAAATTCTTACCCGTCATTTTCGGAATAGCAAGCGCCTTCACTATGTTCTTCTTCACTACTGGTTGCTTCGTTATGGTCTTCATCAGATCTGGTGAACTGCGGGAATGTCTGGTGAGAGGCATTATCCAAAAGCCGAGATACACTAGCCAAATCAGCGGTCTCTTCTTTGGCCTCAACAGCGGGCTTATCAGTTGCACCATCTTCTACAATTACCAATTTGTCTTCTTCCATAATGTCTTCCTCGTCCTCATCGTCTTCTTCGTTCATTTCTTCATCGTCGAGTTCGGATGATCGCTGTTCTGGTTGACGGCATTTAAGTGATATGGCCATTTTGACATGATCCGAAATTGGCGCCAAGTCTTGTTCGTTTTTGATGGTAGAAAATTCAGGTTCACTTTTTGTTAAAGATCGAGGTTTCTTGTGCCAATCTGTAGGATGTTGATTTTTAACGTGTCGATCCCGATTAGATTTAAGAGTGAAAGCTCGTTTACAGGTATCACACACGTGTGGTCTGTCAGTTCTGAATCGCCTCTGTTTAGGCACCAGTATACCATTTTTCATTACTAATCTAAGGCCATTAGTATCTTTGGGTTTTTGAGGTTCGACTGAAGAGGGCGATGTAGTCCGTGCTACGATTGATGGTTCTGGCGCCTCGGGTGTATTAAGCGGAGCCTCGGCCGCTTCTGGTATGGAAGGTGGTTCGTTCATTTGCCTCATAGCTCTTATCATGTCTACTGTAAGTGGTAAAGGAAGCATCCGTTCTGGATTTGGATATATGCCATTAAAAAACATCCTATGCTCGTTGAGGAAGTAAGCATGCAATGGAGTTGGTATTGACAAGTCCATGTAAGGAGGAGCAGGTTGAGGTATAAAATTTTCTCTGTAATTCACAGATTTATAATCTTCATCGTCTGTAGTTTCTGATTTTTTACTATTAATTGACAAGTCTTGAGGCTCGGAGTCCAAGTCTGGTTTAAAACGTTTTACGCTTAAATCTAATGGCTCATCCACGTCGTCTTCTTCGTCTGAACTTTTTTGACCGCAATCACTTTGCAGCGAATATTCCATTTTGTATTGATTGTCTGTCTTAACATCAACATTGGATTGAGCCGAGGACGGTTTTTCTTCGTTTTTAAACAAAATAGAAGTCTTAACTTCAGCATTAGACGCTTTATGTATGGTCCTAAGGTGTCTCTCGCAGTTGGCTTTGGTTGTGAACGCATATGAACACTTTTTACAAACGTACGGAGTTTCGCCCGTGTGACCTTTCATGTGGTGGTTGAGCGATGCTTTTTCGGTGCTGGCAAATTCACAAATGTTACATGCGTACAATCCGTTAGTTGACTTATTATGACTGGACGAATTGTGACCTTTAAGAGCACGAAGGTTACCAAAAACTGTGGAGCAAAGTCTGCACGTATATGTGCGCTTGCTTTTCAAATGATTACTTCCGCTATGACTTCTTTTGGGGGGCGATTGAGATAAAAACCCAGTGGTGACCGACAATGGAATTTCGTCCTTGGGGGAGTTACCAAAGTACGAGTCTTTATCAGAAGGGTAGCCATCGCTAAAATCTGTGCTACATGTAGAGTCACCGTTGTACGCAGATTTGGCAGGCGTTACGTGTTGAAAACGGTCTGGACTATTGATTTTCTTAGGCGACTTAATAGTAGGGCTGTTATTATTATTGTTGTTGTTGTTGTTGTTATTATTTATATTGTTATTATTATTGAACTCTCTGTAGAAATAAGACTTGGCTGACAGATTTTGTGGTTCCAAGTCCATGTGGGCGGTTTGCAAGTGCATACGCATACTGTATGTGGTAGAGAAAACGGCGTTACAAACAGGACACCGGCTTTCTCTTTTCATATCTAATACTGTATTGCAGAACAATCGTTGACGCAGATTGTCTACTCGCAACATTTCCGAAGACATGACAATATACCTGTGAACAAAAACATAAAATTAATGAACAACCAACGCTAAATGTGGGTAGAATCGATTCAGTTCAGACAACTGAGGAAGACCCGCTTTGCCGATGCATCATATAGAAATTTAAGGCTCACAACACTCTCGCCGTAAGCATGGCAACCGGCGTAGTAACAAAAGTTCAATTGCCCTCATGTATACGGCGATTATGTATAATAGAGTATAGGAACATATACAATGCGTATAAGAAGAAAGGTCGGTTGACCTACAAGAGTTCATTCGTACACGGGTAAGGTGCGATTATAACCAGCAGGTGTTTGCATGTGGGCAAAAAAAAAAAAGAACAGTAGTACTTATGTATGTATCCTATCGGCTGCGAAATGATGTACGGTAGAGAATGCGGTCGATCAATATTCATAGAAACACTAAGTTCTATGAAAAACTCCCCGAACACAACCCCTTACCTCTAGCCACATCTTACCACTACGACTACCTTTAACAAAATACAACCGGTATAGTATGTAAGGCCATAGTGTAAGTTATTATTATATAACACAGTGTTACTGTTATATTGACTAATCGACATAATACATATTATATAACGGAGGGAGAGCTTGTGTACCACTATAAAATAATTGTTAAAAGGGGCTGCCACCTACCACCATCGTCGATTGTTGTTGCAGTCGGTGTTGACAATAACCTTTGACACCGGGGAGGGATCTACAAAGGGCCGTCGCATCCTCCCCCAGTGCAATCGAACAGTAATCTTTTAATAATAATAATGCACCGCGCGACGGCGGCGCCTAACACCGACACAAGTGAATAGTTCTTCTGGTGTGGAATTTCATACTTCCTCCCCGAGGGACTGCGATTCAATTTAATAACAATTATGATTGTCATTTGAAAAAATAATAAACACATCGATCAACTGCATCTACTCACTAAAAGTCAAAAACGATACGTAACTCGACCCGGGCCGGATTATATTTTATTCATTTTATTCTATGTAAATGGTTTACGATGAAAAAATAATTATAGCCGACTTGAATTAATACTCATCATCAGATTGTATTTTATTATTTTAGATCAGTCTTTAAAATAAATTTATGTAGATATAATTTATGGCAAAACTAAAATTAAAATCATCAAAGTAATCCATTATAAAATTCCCAGAAAAATATTATGCAAATAAAACGTATTGTGAAAATAACATTTTTAATTTAAATAATGAACAATAATCGTATCTAGGCAGAACAAGTCTTTAGCGTGAGACCTATTGCTATTGAGATTCATTCTTTAGGTGTTGAAATCTGTTTATGGACTATAATCCAATTACATTACAGTACAAAACTCTATCGTGGCGGTTATTAATAAATGGTTTTTGTTTTTAGTGACCAGCAGGTAAGTAACACGGATCGAGGGTGAACAATGCCCATGGGGTGGCTCCCCTATTTGTGTACTGATGACAAAAAAAATAGAGACTTTGTTGCCAATAGAAAGCTGATTGCGTAAAATAATGAAAAAAAGAACAACAACAACAATAGCAGCTTCATGACAACAACATACGTTAATGGCAAAGAGAATTGGCTAATAAGTCAATAATAATAATAATAATAATGTCTTGAATATAAGCGTATACACGTAGCTCTGTCATTATATTGGCTATGATTACTACGTAGATCAATCCACTAAATATACACACGACACAATGACGTCTTTCGTGAGATTGTTGTACAGCGTTAGCAATTCTATTCATCAGATATTTACTTATAATTCAAATTTTATTGTTTTTCTAGGTCTTCCGGATTTCGCGTTAAATTATAATATTTTCAAAGATGAGCGAGTAATTATTAATGCCGTGGTATTCCACGCAAAGCAAGCCAAGAAAAAAAATAATAATCTCATACAATCGTGTGGTTACGAAACCGGTGAACCGTACAAGGCGAACACGCATGTATGTAGATTCTTTCTGAGCGCTGGGCATCATAATAGTATTATTACTACTACACATTATACTGCTGTTAATGTGCACAGAAGTTTTTCCCAAGGTACGGTGTACTTATACGTACTTGTACAAGAACGTTTAATAAAAGATGGCGACGGATGCTGATCATTGATGGGAAACAGCGGGGGCTACGTAATAGAGGTCTGTGGCTGACGGCCATGGAAGACATCATCATCATCATCATCATCATCGTGTATAATGAAATTGTAATTAACGGACAGAACGCCATGGTGGTACCCGGAGGAGGGAGGGGAATACAAGTTTTTATCAAGACCGTCCACTGGAAACGACGATACATAAGAGCGCGCGAAGGCAGTGGCTCCTCTTCACCTTGGACTGCGTGCATGGTCAACCTCTTAGAAACGCTTGACCGTTTCGACTCAATTGGAAAGAATTTTCCTAGTTTATTCGGCCGACGAATAAATTATTAAAATCGGCCAAGAAATAAAAAGCGCATAACACTAAACTTACTTTCATGTTGTAAAACCATTAGATTATAACTCGTGTGATATACACAAATAACGTTATTATTGTGTATAGTATTACACACCTGCGCCGTTTGTCTGCGGCCGATTCAAAATAGCGTTGTTTAATGTAACCCGAGTACCGGAGAACGAGCGATGTAAAAAACTCATTTAAAAAGAAACGACACAAAAAAAAAATTGGAACAATCGGTAGTGTTGCGGCATAGGCAATATGAAAAAACGTAATGACCCAAAAAAGTGTCGTCGACAACCGATGCTGCTGATTCAACGAAAAATTCTTCAATGAATAAACGTCTGGACGTCAGCACCGGTTTCGTTATTATTGATGTCACATAATTTTATGAAGAATCCGCGAAAGACACACGACGATCGCCATTTCCGGGCGCTATTAGTTTTTTGATTTTTCCGAAAACTAAGTATTATTCGAGGACTTACGTGAGGGTGTCGTCTTCGCGACCGTTCGGCCTTGTCCGTCGGACAAAAGATCGTGATAAACATACGACAACACCGTTCGATGATATTTGTTGAATTTGTCAATATTTATGAAATATTAAATTTAAATTGTTATTGTTATTATTATAATTCGTACACGAGTGTTTGTTTTACGAACATTTAAACGGCGCACGGCAACTAAACGCACGGAAGACCATCGCAGTTGTGACCTTCTGCCTGTCCGTACGAGCCGAGGAAACAATATGACGACACACGCCACGAAATCTCCAAATTGTTGTTTTGATCGTTGAAATTGTCATTGGGTTTCAATCAAAGTGAATTAGGGAGACGGCGGCTCGCTGGCCGCTTAGGTCATTTGTTTTAGAGCGTAGTGTAAAAAAAAACTAACGACAACAAGAATGTTTTTCGGCCGTAAGTAAATCACTCCGGAGCGGTATACAATAAATAAATAAATGTTGGCGTTGGCAAAACTTAATTTAAGCGGTAAAAATTTTTAAACTGACTTGTACTACGATGCAATACAAAAATATCGATTAAAAAAAAAAAAAAAAGGAGGAAGTAGAAAACAACAAAATCGCAGTCTACGGATTTTTGTTAGCTTTTGGTGTCGACTTCTATTTTCTAAAAACTTTTTTTTTTTACGAGTTTGCCAATGCGGGATATGTATACCGTGTACATACGCCGCCCTTGTTTTAGGTCACGAGTCTTTACATTGTATGTTTTAATAATTCAATACTAAAATATGATGATATTAATAGTCGGCAAGATTAACGCGTCAATAATAATTACACGCGGTAAAGTGTCGGGCGGTGCAGCTGTTTTTTCAGAGCAATGATCTGCGGGGCACGTGCTGCTGCTGTGCCCCTGTACAGCTGCACAATCACCTGGATAACAACACCCACAACAACAACCAAACCAAGATGATAATGGTACACAGTGTATAATGTACTACAGCAAACACCTTTTTGTTTTTCAACGCTCCACACATAAAGTATTATTAAACGCATAGACCAACTAGGTTTATTCTTCTTAAACGCGACTTATGTCAATAATGATTATTTTTATTTTATTCGATACAATTTTTTTTTATTTTCGTCGCACGTATACATCTTTTAGTATTGTTTTTTCCGAGTATTTCAAAACTCAATGAACAATTGCTAAACAGGACGCGACCTATGCAGGCGGAATAAGCTATAAAAAAAAAAAAAACAAAAAATGACGTAGTTCCTCACACAGAGAGACACTCGAAAAAATCATCGTAGATTATAATATTATTATTACACACAGTTGGTACGAACGAATGCCAAATCAGCAATTGTTATCTGAGCTAACGATGCACGTACATGTGTCCTATAAGACAACATTAGAACGAATATCAATGTGCGGTCCTATTAACATCTTGAGGGTAATTCGGTAGTAGAGCGCGGCGGCGGTAAATGGTTGACGCTTAAAACAAAAACAAGTGGTTTGTGTACCTATTCGACAACATCTTTTCACGGAAAGATAATATTGTCGATAAAAACAAGATTATTAGTCTCGAGTATGCGCATAAAAAAGTAAAACCATAAAAAAACTAACCAGCACTCGACGACAAATGACTAAATCACGCACACTATACAACGACGAGACGACTCTCGGAATTGACGTTGCGTTATCGATATGTGGGTGTATGTTTTTATTGGATCTTGTGGCCACGACAAATTCCAGCCAATACAGAAACAAACCGAACCCAATAACAGAATAATTAGTGTAAACAGAACGGAGATAACATCTTGGAAATTCCGTTTCCTTTTTGGTGGCCAGACGGGTTATTGCGCGACAAATACTACACCCAACAGCAGAATGTAGGAAAACGCATTAGCCGAGGGTAGGACGGACGACAATTGATATCACAATAGATAGACACCGGGATGAGGTCACGCGGGAGTCAGCCGTCGCCGTTTGGCCCCGAAAAACTGGTTGCCACCGCAGAAGCGCGTGCTGTACCGGAATCTCTACAGTCGCCGTCCGGTCGCCTCTCCCTTACCGACGGCGGCGGTGGTCAGTCAGACGGCTGATGGCCCGTTTATCACCGTGTAATTGACCCGTAAACTGCAGGGTCGCCGACGGGGGGGGACGCCCAGAAGACGGCGCGGTGTCCAGCAAAACATTACGTCCCGATCGATCCGTAGCGCCACCGATCCCTGTAGAAGTACTCGGAGACGTCAACGGAAATCTCTACCGAGTTACCCGCCGAAGAGCCGCACCCCCGACCGTTAACACTTATCGTAACGAACATTTCCCAATATAACGAACCCGTTTGTCGTCGTCGTCATGCGGACATTCTCGGCCAAGGAAAACAAATCTATTATTATAATAGTAGTGGTGGTGATGGTAACCCGAACGAAACACGTTACGTTGTAGCCGTCGCCCGTTAAGACAAAAGAGGGAAGAGCAGTCATCGCGAGGATCGTAGGTATATAATATACGCTCTATTGTCTACGTGTTCATAATGAAAAGTATCCGGTTTTCGGCTTCTGGACCCGTGAGCGCAAGGCGAGGGGAGGGGAAGTTATCTGTATCCGGACGAAGGGGGAACGAGAAAAAACACAACGAACACATCGGACCGGACCACATCCTGTGCGCGTCTTCTTCTTCTCATGCACACGTACGCGCAGTGATGCGTCGAGCAACTGGTCCACCACGCATTCATTATAAAATATATACACACACGGGGTAATCCTCTTCCACCTCGTCGTCGTCGTCGTCCTCCTCATCCCGCACCACATCACCTCCACACCCGGCTGGCCCGTCACCTGAGTAATCACACGGTGTGCATTTATACGGTTTTCTCCTTTCCGTTTCCTTCGCCGCCGGACGCATCCGCACAAGTGTAGCGGCAACGGCCCACAGGGTTCATCGTGTTATTACATTTCTAATAGGTTTTAGGTACACGAGCACCGAGCGTCGATGACGGCGACGATAATGGCGCGCAAGAAAATAATTTGTATTTCGTTCTCACTGCCGGCATTCCAAAGGCAAACACATTCGGACCGCGCCCAAAGTGAGGCGTCCGTTTTCCGCACTGACCAACCCTTATTTATTATTGCAATACCTCGTACGTATCCGAGAGATGGTTTCGTACAATCGTCGCAGGGATCTCGACGGCATCCGGTCACTGGGGGTCTGTTTCTCTAATTGCCGTTTAACGACCATTTAAGAGACGACACTACGTCACGAGAAAATGGCTATGCGCTAAAAACCGGAAACGCCGTACAAGAGTTACTATTTTAATCGCCGCGGAATACACCCATGGCCGATAACGGTTTTTACAAGGGAGACTTGGCTTCCGCGTTTGCTTTGAATTATACGTATATCAACGTATAAAAAAAGGTTGACCAGTTTTTTCGTATGCGCCTCAGCGACCTTTGACAAACAATAATAAAAAGACACTACCATTATATGCGTGCCGTGTGAAAAGAAATGGAAATTAGAGATTATCAAAATTGTGTCTGTGTGAGCCAAGGGGGCCGATGAATTATCGCAGCGGCTCGAATTTGCATGGACCCCTCGACGACAGTAGTGGCACATCGTCAGGAAGAGCATTGTACCAAGAATAATATATTTTATTAGTTTTATGCAATTGCTGTTGCGAGTACAGTAGTTATTTTCGCTCATCGGTAGGCCTGTGAATTTTGGGCGTTTACACAAATTCCGTTGATCTGAACGGTACAAATTTTCATCAATCGACTTGAAAACTAGTCGTGCGTTCATTCCGACGTCGTAATTCGGCGGCATCGTCTTCCCTTGTTGCAAACAAATACTTCTGCGTCACTATATAGTCCCCCGAAAAAGTAACACCACAAACTCGAGATTCTTCAAAGCGACTCGAAACAAAATGTATAAATGCGCACAAACAACGTCGTACTGTGACAATTGAAATTTGCGAACAATAAAATAAAATAAAAAACTCAGAAATCTTAGCCATTTTTTTTTTTTTTTTTTTAGAACATCTTAAATGTTTTACTAATATAAAACACGCGCATACATCAATCGAATTTGTTTAAGCTTCTGTCAAGCAAAACAAGCACGAATAAAACAATATGGTTTACCAATCACATAAAAAAAATGTTGATAATAATAATGAAAAAACTACATAAACAACACGGTGGATTGCGGCTGACTCAGGTGAATTCAAACCTACACAATAAAATGTATTCAACTCGAATAAATATATCGGCCGTGCACACGCAAACCAATTATGTCGGTCGATATAAGCAAATAGTCGTAATAATAATAAATGAGTGAAATAATTACCTAGTGTGATGCGCTTTGACGTTATGGAGTGCGAAAAATAATTGGAAGTACCGATTATACGAGTATGTCGTTTAACACTGAACGCCTGTGGAGATTCGAAAGGTATTTAGATAAAGCGGATAATAATAATTTCTGCGATCACTTGGGCGCGTTAAACGGAATACTGTTGTGTGTGCATTCGTTATCTCACTACTAACGCTAGGCGTTTGTTCACGAGATAAAAAATAGCTGCACCCTTTTTTTCCTATTTGTACATTAATCGATTTTTTTTCATCTATACATAGGGTTTCCCTTAATAGACAAGGTAAAAAAGTAATTTCTAGCGCCTCACAAAACTACAAACACGGCCGACGGTCGCGTTGCATTGACGACCAGATATCCGTCGGCCGACGGATTTCTCGAACGATTTGATAGAGGAAAAAAAACGTCACGGTGATCGGCTGATATTAGTTTTTTTTTTTCTCTGATATTATAACGTTACCGTTATTACTTACTTCGCTCTCAATTACCCGCAGACTACCTACCCGCGTTTAGTTTTCGATTTCGCTTAACGGCACCGCCAATAGACAACGTGGACCATTACTAGGTAAGCACCCTGTATGCGATTACTCACAAGTCGCACTCGAGTGCGGCGGCGGCGGCGGCGGCGTTCAAGAGGTTTTCGAGATTAACATTTCGGTATGTGTCTATTTGTTGGCATAGAAGAGATGCGACGAACGCGAAAACGCCGAGAAAAATAAGTGTTAGAAATAGTGAACCACTACCGCCGCGTTGTTTGTTTCCGTGCAACACCTATTGGGAATTAAAAAAAAAAACCAATATTATCTTGGGCTGACGAAACACACGCGCCGCCTCGCCCGGCCAGAGATGTTGACGGCCTCTCGCGGTACTTCCCGAATCCATATAGATAAAGCACACCAACACCACTCACACTTGTACACAACAGCAGGTATTATTATTAATAATATTTTCCCAGTCGTCGATCTGTCGCCACAAAACCAATAGACGCAGATAACGTTTTCGAATAAACCGCCAGACGTCATTATTACTGCGATTATTAAACGGTTTATTGCCTTTATCGGATTTGATACCACCTCCTCTTAATTGGATTTCGCGTCCTGCACGCGCTTTAGAGAAGACTGCCAAAGTACGCGACCACGCCAAACTATCGACCGAGAGATGCTCTACAAAAATCCCGACCGTACATAACTGCTGTCTGCCAGCCCTGTCGCAGCGGGTACCGAGCACACGCTGTCCAGTTTGACCGGACCGCCGAGCCAAAGGGGTGAAACCGTCCCGGAAATAAAACGTCACGTTTCGTTACGACGTCGCCAATGAAAATTACACGCTCTCTTTGGTCCGAGCACAGTGTAATTTAATGTAACAATAATCCAACGTTTATATTGACCAATTATCGATTATAATTAAATTATAGGTTTCCGTTTCGTGATAAGACGCAGGTATCCGTGACACGAGAGGCAAATATTACCTATAATATACGAGTATCAGTCTCCCGAGTTTCTCAGAAGTATAACAATATAAATAACAATTAAGTAACATGATATACCCAGTATTCATAAAAGAACAGATAAAATATAGGAAAAATCTATCTCTTAGATAGCAACCAGAATATCAGAGATAAAATATTCTGCAGCCAATTAAATCGATAAACAACAATGACACCTAACAAACGATCATTCATAATAGAACGTTGTTTTCTTAAAATTTTTATTACGCTACTTGTGAACTAACAATATTGACAAAATTAGTCTCCACAGTGGTACGGTAACAAGAGTAAAAATAGTACAACCGTGTGTAATAACTAGATTTTTACACAGTATTTGGATCATGGACGGATAACGATGTTTTTTTTTGAAAAACGCGCCATGCTAATTGTTAACGACAAAAAAAAAAGTAGACTTGTAACAAAAATAATTAAATGATAAATTTACCTGGATTACGATATGGGACGGCAGTGGTCGGTCTTCCTCATTAGCGGATGCAGCGATTCGTGCGCGGGGCGATCATCCAAGACGCCAGCAACAGCGATAGTGCAGACGGGACGGATCGACGGCGTTGGCGTTCGCGGGCCCGTAAGGCGCGAGTACAATACTATACGTACCGTGGTGTTACAGCACTGAACGTCAGTTTAAGTGCGTGTGTGGACGCAGGCGCGATGGTCACGGTCCGTTCGGAGCAAACTCCACTGGTCGTCGGACACAGCAGCACTACACATCGACGCTGGCTGGGACAGGTTGCACGGGCCCCGGGTACAGACGCCGACCAATCCGGACGCGCCCACAGCTCACGGAGTCCTCCCCTCCGCGCCAATCTCCGCCGATCTCTTGCCGATTGATTTGCGTCGGTTACGTGACCGCGTAGCGCGCGCGTACCTCGACCCCTCCTCGCACCGCCTTTCCACCCTTCTCGCAACCGGGTATTTCTTCTTTTCGCTCCGTTTGCCACCACCCACTTGTCATCGGTGCGGATGTCGCGCGCGCCGTCGTTGCCGTGTACCTGCTGCCGCTGTCGCATAACTTCAGAACAGGAGGTGAAGGAGATGTACGCTCAGATATTATTGATTTTAAAGGCAAAAAAAGCCAAACGAACATTTCTGATATAATACTCAATAATTCTCTGTACGACAAGTCAAAAAGAGCATTACCGTCGTCACGCATTGCTTTCAATCTCTTTAGACGGTCGTACATGATAAAAAAATATAAATGTTTCCTTTGCCCATAATAAAACACACATAATTTGTTAGCAAAGAATTTTAATGGCAAAACTATTGCTCAAATATTTGGCAATGAGTCTTAATGGTTACAAAAAAAAAAAAAAACTAGTGTATGCAATGTTAAATTAAACATGTTTGTCTCAAAAAACTAGTCGATGTAAACATTTAAAATAACTGCTGTTATTTATTTTAGTTTTTAAAGAATTTTTCCTAGTCATGATCATTAAACATTTAAAAAGAAATTACAAGTAATAACGTTTATGAAATTTGTACAAGATAACAGTTCACTGATTTTTAACTGTCCACTTGAGAACATTAGTCGCTTAATTTCAGACATATATTTTTGTTTTAAACAAACATTTTTCTAGATGTTATTACAAATCCCGGCAGGTCTTCCATCAATGTTAAATAACTCATAGTAATGTTTGTTTTACATAACTTGATCGGTCTCGAATCTATTCGGAATGAGAACTAGTTAAAGGTTTTAATTTCCCGTGGGATTTTTGTCGATTGTTTTTTAAATTCATCTCATTCCAGTGTGATGCATATTAAAGTTTATTTTAGTAGATATTCATACTTTTGGAGATCATTTCTAAGCGGTTTTTAAACTTTGAATATTTATAATTTCACACGCCTTGACTATTAAATAATTCACTCATTACATTTTATTATATATTATTCACCTTGAATTAATATATATATATATATATTATTACCCAAAAAAATATTGATCAAATTGTTTAATGCCATCTTAGCTCAACGCCTTCGATTAGATATAAAGATATGTTCCTCAACATTTAACGAAATAAATATTTTTTTGACTGGTGATTTCCTACTGATTATTGAATAACAAACCTATAAGTTTACTATTAAAGTTTTAAATTATCTAAGATTTCTTATTTGAAGCTTTTAACACGCTGAACCTGATGGAATATATTCTCATATTTTAACCTCGGATTCAGAGTTGTTGGGAAAAACTAAAAAATACAATAAAAATATCCCGCTATAGTGTATAAGTTGTTCTTTAAGTTTTAACATAAAAGAAAATGGTTTAAAACCTAATTCAAAGTATTCTATTAAATGCTCCTTGAGCTCTTCTTTTCGATAAAATATATGGTACTTAAGTATAAGAGTTTTTCATTTCTAGAGAAATAATATTGTTGTCATGAAATATTGTATTTAATAGTTAGTTTTTAAATTCTAAAAATAGTCTGGAAAATTCATTCAAACGTGTATGTTTCAATACAGGTGATGTTTTTTTTTATAGGCTATTATAAAGTAGCTAATAGACTATCGCCGTGTGTTATGTAGTAGCATAGGGTACTAATTGAAATAATAATCGACTGAAACCTCCTCATTAGCCAATACTTTGACCGAACCAATTCTATATTTCGTCATTTATTCTTAATATAAACACTAAGTTAGTATCAAATAGATGTCTGCTGTTTAGTTGAATTCAATACTACTATTATTTCATTCACAAATTTGTTTTTTGATAAATAGATATTTGCAAACCTCATCATTGAAAATAAATATGTTCGCTTATCGGTTCTAATAACTCGAGTTCGTTAGGTAATAAGTTTTTTGTTGCTAAAACGAATAGAGCTCCTTCTAGATATTCGAATAAAAGTAAAGTAATATCCGTAATGTAAAAAACACTAGACCGTTCCATGTTATCTATTAGAAATTTAAGCTTTGTCTACATTAGCTTGAAACATTAAAATTAATGTCGTAAGAGTTACATATGCTCATAAAAGTATTCAGAGACGTCGAAAAAATTGTCAATAACCAGTTAAAAATCAGCAACCGAATATTACACAAATCAAACGTCTAGTAAACTCTTAAAAATGTTAATTAAAAATAAATATATCGAAGAACTTGTTTTTTTTACCCAACCGAAGGTGTTAAGCTAAGATGGCATTAAACAATTAAACAACGATATTTTTTTGGGTCACTCTAATATTAATCTTCCTATTTTTATTAGTCATCCAGCTAAACACATATTTGTTTTATTGTACTAAAAGAATACAATTATACGCAAATATACCGCGAAAAACATTCGACAAGGTGTTTTTTATATCTATGATGGCTTTTTTACACTCTATGCGGTCGTGAAGACCAAGAGAGATGAATAATTGCGAACAAATAAAAACTATGGCCGATAGCCAAAATATCACAAATCAACGTGAAATCTGATTAAATTTACCGAGAAAGACACGACATTAGACCATAACACGAATGACACGTGTGTCTAAACAACGGAAAATTAAAATGATTTACTATCGACAAACAAACTAATAAATAAACGTTATGGTTGTTAATAATATGTTTACCTGAGCGCCCAAAGGAACAGGAAGGGTTATGATTTTTAGCCAACATTCAAAATGCATAAACAATTTATTATTTTAACTTATACGTACGTTACTGATATATTATTGTCTACGATCGTGCGGAGAAAAACGTTTTTCAACCGGTTTCATTGTCACCAATAGACAGATGCCTGTTAAAAAGATGTTCAATGAAAACCATAAATACACTCGAAACAACTCCTTATTAAATTGAGTGTTTGATTTGTCGGAAAGGGTTTTCGATGCGATAAAATATTACAGAAAATAGCACGCGATTACTTGCCGATTGAAACATTACCAGACGTTTCTTCGGTTGGGCCAACGTCAATATTATTAGACTTTTTTCTCCGATACTTGTACTCGAACCATATTGTTTTTCGTCAAAGAGTTATAGTCTCGACACATTCAAACACATGGCAGCGTTTGAATCAATAAACTTATGTCATGGTATTAGAATAAACGTAGATCGTGTACGTGATGCATCACGTGCAATCGGTTTAATAGAAAAATATGACTGAGTAAATATTTTTTGCAGAGAATTGAATATTTACATCGTCTGAGCGTTTCCGAGTAGACAATGCGTCCGCAAAAGCCGCAGATGAAATTATTTGTCACAATGACAATCAACAAATCGTGTGTCGACGTCACAGGAAACACGATTAGATTGGAAAAAGGTTTTTTTATTTTTTTATGGTGGTACAATATTACGGTTGGCCCGCAGCAAACAGCAGCTGCACGGACAAGTTCAAAACGATAGCGTTCGCGCAATAATTGTCGTTGGGTGTACATAATTTTTTAAGTATTACCCAACCGTTTGTGTGTAGATATGATGTCTCTGAGTACACGTGCAGACTCGTCGCCCATTTAAATGAACGCTGAGCCGATACCGACGACACGGTTTTTTAAGACTACTACGAGTCAGCGTTGGCTAGTGTGCAGCTCGTGTAGGTTTTATCTCTCACCGTCTCATTACGCCGTTTTGCTTTGTATCGGTACCAAGTATTTATAAATGCATTACTTCGATGGAAGTGTTGACCGAACGGTATACGATATTATTACCATTGTTGTATAACGACATAATTAATTTCTCGAAATTCTCTCGTTTGGTAAACGAACGTTTGCCGTTGGCCTAAATGAAAAATGTACATAATCGTTAGATCGCGAAGCCTCATTATGCATTCTTGGAAAAAACGCACTCGGTCATTGGTAAATCTGTACTAAATGAACCGTCGTTATTACACCAGCCCATCGATTACGAGTTTTCTCAAAATCGCACCTTAATTTTACGCATACAGGTATTAATTATGGCCGAGCGTTGCCATCTTATGAATAATAGAAATCACTTAACGGAAAAAAAAAAATTAACCTTTAAAATTTAGTTACATGAAGGTAAAAGGCCACCCACGCGGTGAAATTTTCGTATTTTTTTCAAGGGCGCGGAACAAATCTATTTTCTCAGCCATTTATGAAACTTAATTACTAGTTAAATATTTCAAAAACACGAGCCTTGTCGATCAAACGACCTAACGATGTCGTTTCTATCATTTAGAAATTAAATATGATATTTGAACGATTTTTATTTTGTGTTTTCTTCTGTATTGGAATCGTCAATGTAATTAGAATGTTTATAACTGTAGAGAAGCAGTAGAATGCTAATTAAAGCGAGGGAATTGTTTTTAATAACGCGAATCGAGTGAAATTAGTTTTAAATTGGATTTTAATGTCTATGATCCTGCAGATGGACAAGAGATGCCCAACGGGTATTGGTCGCTCGTTTCGCACGCGTTAAGTACGTTCAAAAGGACAGAAGAAATTTCGGCCGTTATTATTCCACTCTGATATACTCGTGTGTGTTTTTAATTCGAGCGCGAAGAAAACCGTAACGTACATTTTGTTGACGGATAAAAAATAAATATAACGCATGCACGCCGCCCGTTTACACACAAAGTACTATAGGAAAAGGGAAGAGAGTAGCCGCGCAACACAACCTACGAGCTGACCTACCTCTTGATATGATATTGAAATAAATAGTCCGATTCCCATAGGGTATTTTCGATTTGCATATATTTTTTACAGGCGACGGTGCGTATACACAGATAATGTATTGGTGTGCACGCCGAAGAAAGTGCTCGTGTAAATCGCTCCAGTTGGCATACAGCGTGACAGGTAACTTGACCCTTTCGCTCATCG